TTCTCTCAGTACATGAATGTTTAGTGCATGATAAGTGAAGCTGCACAAAAGAGAGACAGAAAAGACCCCATACAAAACTTACCAAAAAACCCACTCATGTGGGTTTTGCAATTGTACTTACATGAATGAATCAGGAATACTCAATTGATAATCTCAGGTCCCTTGATCAAAGGTAACAAAGCTACAGTAACACACTGAGAAATCTTTGCTTTCATTACTCTATACAAACATCTCATGGAAGCTATCTTTCGACTTTTTCCTTACTTAAGGTAACCCACTGGAATTTGTTTTTCCTTGGACAACCATTTCCTTTTGTACCTCTAAGSGTTTGCCAAAGCCTTTTCCCTACATAACCCTTCCTCATCTTGGCTATCTCAAGAACACTGTTGGACAAGACCTGTGTGATCAAAAGCTGTAGCATAGTGTGATTGTCTAATGTATTTTTTAAAAGCAAAAATAATTGATCATGGTATTCTAAGGAGTTTTTAATCTCATAATTGTACAAGTAGGTGAATTTGCTACAACATGAGCTTTAAAATTTGCATCTGCATTGGTATTTTACTTCTTCTAGTGTGCATATGAGCTGAACCACTTGGTATTTTTGTGCTTTAAACTGCCACTGCAGACCGTCTGGCTACTCCAGACTYACAGCTGGGAATAAAGTGGCTGCTATTGCTTAGTCTAATTTTCTGATAAGCTGCACAGAGATGCAGTTACTAAGTGTCATTYTCAGGACTGTGTACAGTGGAATAAGCTGAATTTCATTAGATGTTTAGAAAGTTTATCCTCTTCCATTCTGTTCATTTTGTTGGTGTTTTCTTCAGCACTAGGACATTTCTGTCTTCATGATTTCATGTTTTGCTGTCACCGAGCCTAGCTAGCAAGGCCCTGCAACAAGCTGCAAAATCTTTCCTGGTTCTGAAATGGCAGAAACCTCATGGCATTCTGGTGCAGAAAAAAGTGATCCTATTTGATGCTACACTATGCCATGGCTCTGCTCTCATCACATCCCCCAGCATTATGTTGTGTTATGTTCATTATGTGACCTCAGGGGATCCTGACACATGACCTGACAGACGTGGTGTCGTGCACCAACCTCATGTAAAATGAGAAGTCTGACTTTGCTCCATCATAGAGATTATGTGTCTCTTCATTTAACTTAATCATGTCAGTGGGTTCAGCAGCTTGTCTCCTTGATGTTGAGAATGTGATAGGAGATTGCTTACAAAGTGAAACAATATTGGGAGATCAGACCTTGGAAAAGCTAGAAGATTGCCATGGTTCAAGGAACTGCTATTATAGATCAAAGTGTCTAACTTTTTCTTAGCTTTTGGGCAGAGGCTGTACTTAGGTGAGATGGAAAACAAAGATTTTGTCCACCARTTCAGACTACTTTAAGGCTAGCAGTACTCTGGTACCGTTTAAAGGACATTTTATTGCAATCCATTAAGTGACTGTAGCTAGCGTGGCTATAGGTAAAGATCAACAGTATTTTGAAGTAGCAAAAGTGTCAAAATGGGTGCACCAATAAAATATTCAGTGTCTTACTCCTATGTCAAAGATGTTGTGTGATTATAAATTACATGTAAGATCACCAAATGTGGTAGAATCTGGCATAAAATAGCAGATAGTTGACATATCACTGCTTGTATGGAGAACTGTGTAGGGTCATCAGCATTTCTGGTTTTTACTCAAAAGTATATCTTTAAYAACAAAAATTTCCTTTAGGGCTGCAACAGTTCAATGTTAAACAGTATTAATGTGAGAATGGTAATGCTTGGTTCTCCTCTTTATTAGTTAGCAGGAGGCCAGCAGCAAGTAGGGAACTTTAACTGTTAACCAATAACAGTAGCATGTTTGACTGCCCTCACCCTGAAATTGCTCTTTTTGTAATGGTTAACTGCTCTGTTGTAACTCTCAGCAGGGGGGTAGTTTTCCCGTCAAAGGAGGTAAGATAAAAGGAAAGAAAATTCCTTCCATCGCGTGTTAAGACCCACTGGAAAGACAATGGTTGCTGTACACTAAACAATTCCCTGTAGGAAGGTCTAGCGCAGTTTTATACCTTGAGACTATCAGCGGGAAAATAGGTTGTTAAAAGAATTATATTTAAATTGAAAGCACTTTTGTTTTACTTCCTCTAGTTTTTACGGCTTCTTGTCCCCAGGGTGTGCCGGAGTGCGGTGCGAGCGCTGTGCCGCCCCGGCGTTTCCCCGMTGCCGCCGCCTCCCCGCCCCGGGCAGCTCACCCTGTGGGAACAGGCGGCTGGCGGGCAGGAGGAGGCAGAGCGGGGATTTCCCTCGCTCCCTCCATCCCTCGCTCRGATCCCGTTCTCTCTGTCTCCTCGCCCTCCTTCCCACCGTGGCTCTGGGAGGCCGAGCACACGCGGGAAAAGCTTCCCGAGGAAGGCAGGGCGGCACGGTTTTCCGTGACAGCTGAGCCGAAGGACAAACGCCCCGGGAGGCCGCAGGTGCCCGGCAGCCCGTGTCCCCCCTGTGCCGGCTCGGGTGTCACGCCGCGTTTCTCCGCCCGGGCTGGCGCTCCCGGCGCCAAGGAGCAGCGCCGCGGTTGCCTGGGAGGAGCCGCTGTGTACAGAGCTGTGCSCGGGCCCCGGGGAGCTCTGTTCCCTGCATCCCGCGAAGTGTGCCCGTGGGGCCGGCCTGGGCGTGGGCGTGGGCGCGGCACCCCGGGCAGGGCGCTGTCRGGGCCGGAGGGGCTCCGGGCAGGAGCCGCTCCCGAGCGAGCAGGTGCAGGCGGTGCGGAGGGCTGGCTCGGGCTGAGCGGGACGCGCGAAGCCACCGGCATGGGCAGTCCTGGCACGAAGGGGTCGTGGCTCTCGCAGCCCACCGTGAAGAGCGTGCTGGTGTATCGCAACGGGGACCCTTTCTTCCCGGGGCGCCGCATTGTCATCCATGAGAAGAAAGTGTCCAACTTTGATGTGTTCCTGAAAGAGGTGACGGGCGGGGTGCAGGCACCCTTTGGAGCTGTGCGAAACATCTATACTCCCCGGGGTGGGCACCGTGTGCGGCAGCTGGAGGAGCTCCAGAGTGGAGAGCAGTACGTGGCTGGTGGCAGGGAGGCCTTCAAGAAACTCAAGTGAGTGGCTAAAATGTRATGTAAGATTTATATGGAGCTTGAATATCAGCATTTGGAGTTTGGCACTGTAGCAGTGCTTCAGACGACYTCTCACCCTGTCCCTTTTACTAGTTATTGCAGAAAGAGAGCTTAGATGTTGTGACCGAAGGCAAAAGGAAAAGAGCATTAGAGGTGAGCCCCAGGAAGGTACTGATACATGTAGTGACATCTCCTTGACATGAYAGTAGCCAAGGAAAAGCAGCCCTTTAACCCAAAGGACATGCAGGAATGGCATGTTGTTGTGATGTCTGTGCTTAGCTGAAGGGCCAGTATCAGTATTTGTTCTCAGGGGTAGCAGGATGAAAGAGGTAGAAAGGTGGAGTGTTGACAGTCCTGCCATGAGGTTGATGAGTCTGGGAATTTAATTCCCAAAGCTTCCTTTCCTGTTCATTTTTTGAATGTCTAAAGTATTCGTCCTAGCTATCTGCCTCTCCATCACTTCTGTTCGTTTTGTATACATATATAGCCTTTTGATGTCCCTCCTGTTTTTTAGAAGATGACCATTTGTGGTTTTTTTTTTTCTATCTGGACAACAGGAATTAAGCTTCCAGTTTGTCTGTTTTCTAGTCAGTCAGAGAGAGAATAATGTGAAGGAGGCCTGGGCTATTTAGGTGTGTTTCCAGAGTGGCTCTGCATGTGTTCAGTAATGGTTCTTAATTCTGGCAGTGAATTTCATGGTCTCAATTGCCYATTATATGTTTTGTTCAGTCTTTGTGGGCATTTTTCCTACAGCTGAATTAAAAAGAAATAAACCTCAAAATTAGCAATCCTTTACTGGAGGTGGTTTACAATTAGATGCTCAATCACCACCTTTACAAGGTCTTCCTCATCTTGGTTCTGCAGAGTTGAAAACACTGTATTTTTCAGGAGAGCTCATTAGGGGCTCATTATGTTTCAGGGCAAAACTCTGTGTCATGAASAGGATCTCTGTCAAGCACTCTTATAATTTCTGTCACCAACTGCTTCTGAAGATTTATTGAAGCTTCTTGCACTTCAGTAGAAAAGCCAGAGAGAAAGATGTATGACAGGGTAAATATAAGCCCTTTTCCAACAGCCCTTTTCTCTGTCAAGTGCAATGCTCCGCTCTAAGGAATATCTACCAAATCCATTTGGTGTTAAATCCTGTGATTCTGTGGATTACTTTAAGTTGTTAGTTATCAGCACATCCTGTTACACCTCTCTAAAAGTTTTTTGTGTTTGTTAGGCTAAAAGTAAGTAACTTTTTGGAATTAGCATGCACTGTTCAGAGAATTGGACACTGGATTTATATTGGGTGGGGAAAAGCATTTGCTTTTGTCAGTTCATGGTTTGTGGTCAGAGTTTTATGGTGAGAGTTTTTCAGACTTTTRTGGATGCAAAATGCAATAAGGTACTTATTTAAGCCCAACAAAGAGAATACTTTAATTAAAGCTAACCTAAAGAACTGGGTAAAAAGCAGGCTGTTTTATAYATCTCTTGGTAATATGTMATAGTCCTGTGCYGTAGAGGGGATAAATGGGATGACTWGAGATCCTTTCCATTTCTGCATTCRGAGTTGGAGTTCTTCACTCCAAATTACTATTTGTTTACGTAGTGCTGGAAATGTTGGCAGTGCTTTTGTGAGCATTAAAGACAGGCTGAAGGGCTTAATGTTGACACTGTTCTTAATTGGGTTGTAGACAGAATGGTAATTAGGGAGACATATTAGCCAGAAAAGTCAGAGGACAKGAAGGGTTAATTGGAAGGAACAGTTTTGTGAAAGGGTGTGAAGGAATTAAAGAAAAGTCTGTATATTTGGGTAATGTGTCACAGTTGCAACTGTGAGAGATCAAAGCATCTGCCTTAAAGGATCTGAGACTGGTCTGATGGCAGCAAGAAGCTACATCCTCCCCACCCATCTAGTAATTCTTACTGGACATGTTCATTCCTATGATAGACCATCTRGGACTGAATTTTGAAATGGAGGCTTGTGGCACTGATGTGTAATGGAGAAAGTATCCACCAAGGAGTACCAGAAGTTGAAAGCGCCATTGTTCTGCTTCAAACACTGCATTTGTTTCTTCTCAGATGCCTTACATTGAGAACTGAATCTTTTCCTCTCCTGYTCATGGTAGATTCTAGACTAAACTGCATTCACCTTTAGCACATGAGCCAAACCCTGAATCTTAAYAATTTGAGATTGATACCTCTGAGGGCATTATTCTATATAAACTGTTGATATCTTTATTTTTTTAAAATAAAATAAAWCAATCAGCATTTGGAAATTCTGCTTTTAGAAAAAAAGTACATAGAAATGTTCTTTAATGGAGGAACTTTTAGTCAACGTTGGGAATTTTTGTAACATGTAACAAGTTTTCCACCTTGTTTTATCATTTAGGGAGGTGCTGAGTTAGCACACACTTCTTTGGTGTATACGTGGTGGTGAGATGTTTTGGTATATTGTAGGTGTTTCTGTGGTGAGTGAGAATGCACATATAGGTTGCACCCCGTGGAGTTCTTCCCCTGTTCTCAGCTTCCCGAAAGAAAACTGTGTTGGAGCTGGTTTTGATTTTTAGCTTTTTTTCCAGCATGCTACTCTACCATTCTCCTTCCTTTGCCCTTTTACTTGGATCTGTGCTCATTCATCATTGGTAGATTGCCCTCTCTCCAGCAGCATCTTTCTGAGCAATGCTGTAGTTTCATCGCTGGCATGGCCAGCCATTGGTTAGAAGTATTTCTGCTTTCTTAGCAAGTGAGAATTGTTTTGGAAAATTTTTGGTCTGACATTTTTTTGAGCGCCATCATCCACAAAAAAGCCTTTGCTCCTTTTCAGATTTGCGGGTTCCCTAAATTTGATGACTGAATGCCCAGACCTCTTCATAATGAATTTAAGCCTTTGACTATGTATTTGCTTTCCTTTGTCACTTTTCTTAGTTCTTGGTGAAATAATTCACAGATGCCTGGAAAACAAGAACCACAGTCAGTACCTGGTGTTGGAGGCGATTGGAACCATTTTGCCTGAGGCATTCATTTGTTTTCAGTCTTGCAGGCTGTAAAACTTCTTAGTTTTGGTCTAAAGAGAACATGTTCCTCTTTAAACTGAGAGCTTGGAACAGCTGTTTGTTTTTAAAGAAGGCTCTTAAAAATATTGTCCTATGTTACTATGCTTTTGTTTTCTGAAGCTTTGACATGCACTTTCAAGCATGGCCTGGCAGCTTCCCTGTGTCTTATTGTCCCCTCACAACGAAGCTTTGAAATCCCTGTGACCATCCTTTGGGACCTTGATAAATGATTGCCATTCCTTCAAAGAAAGAATGAAGATTTTTCTTTCTCTCTCTTTTATTTTTTTTTCTCTTTATTGCTTTTACACCTTAATTCAGGTCCYATGAATTCTCAACTGTGGCCAAGTAGGAAGGTTTTCTCTGGCAAACAAATCTTATCTCAGTCATTAACTACAGAGCTTGACATTACTGAAGGGCTGCAGATGTGTTTTGAGTTCTGAGATCCTGCACTGAGTACTTGGCTTTAGATACATCTGATTTCTCAAATGTGGTTTTCCAGTCTTAAAATCCTGGTAAAGYACCTTCCCACTGGAAGTGAGAACAGTGGAACAGTGGAACATCACAAAGATATAATATAATTATAGTATAATATGGTCCAAATAGATGTCTTTTGTTTGCTTATCCAGTTGAGGCTTGCATTTTATCCACAAAATAATTATGAACCTATTATTTATTGGTTCATCCAGCTGTGAGAAAGCAGTGTCCAGGGGTGTCCACATTCTGTTGAAACACAGGTTGTGTAGGTCCTTTTAAATTTCAGCTGATGCCCGAGTTAAACTCCAGTGTGCAGGAAAACTTTGTATCTATCAGAGACTTACTCTGAGAAACTATGAGGCAAGATGATGACCTTGAAAACGCTGGTAAGGTGATACTGTGCTGAGATTTATTGATCCACCTCACAGTTTTATATGAGCTTCTTTCTGACAAGAGGGTTATTGACGCTCTGTTCTAACCACCAGTAGCTTCAAAGTAGGTGACTGATTCTCTCCTGTCTTTTTTATTAGGCGAGAGGGCTAGCCTGAAGATTTATTTTAAGAGTTTTCTATTAATTATTTACTTTTTCTGTTATTTTGAAGCATAACAAGTTCTAAAACTTTCATGTATAAAAAATAGTCTAGACTATTTGTGTTGTGTAAGTTTGATGCTTCTGYAAACAATCATATCCATTTTCTTTCCACAGCTATTTGGACATCGGAGAAGCAAAGAAAAAGCCTGCTGAAATCAATAATGAGGTAGGATGGCTGAAATATTTAAGAAGCAAGCCTGCAGTTTATTTTTTTTTTTTTTTGACATGCCTGCATTTATGCCTGATTTTCTAATATGCATTTATTTTATTTATTAATAATACAATTATCTGCCATTCTCTACATACTTCTTCAGTGTTTATTATTCTGATTGCTCTGAGCATGATTATAATGATTGTCTTCTGTTCAGCTTTCTAAAGTGCCACATCCAGTTAAAAACTCAGTAACAAAAAAGATCTCCTGTTGTCTTCATTGAATCTGGTCATAAACCTAAGGGAGATTTGTACATGCAGAAAAAATGGTAAGAGTGAGAATTTTGGGAGTTTTGGACCAGCAAATTTTCTCCTAAACTTGGTATTTCCTGTGAAGAAAGGACATTTTTGTTTGAAAAATGCCAGTGTTAGTTGTRAACTTCTAACTAGTTTTAGTCCATAATTTGCCAAGTTCACTTATTTCTCAACAGCTCTACACTGTAGCCTGAGGAGATAACTGCAACATTCAAAAAATATCATATRTGGATTTGTGTGAGATGCATGACTCTGAATTATTTTTACTGTTTTATTGTGTATGGAGATAGCAGATTTTCCCAACAAACACTTGAATTACAGCTTCTGTGTGACAAGAAGATCAGCTCACTTGTGTTTCAATTTCTTTTGCCTTGTGCTCTCAGGCCCATTTTCAGCAATTTGATGGTTTGTGTAGCAGATGTCTTCAGACAGTASGACACCTTGTACTAGAAGACTCTCAAAATTGCCCTAATGACATTTACTGTGACACTCAGAAACTTTTTGTTCAGAGGCTATGAAATACAACAATTTTATAATTGAGCCTAACTTTGTTACCTGTATTWTTTTGAATGGGTTCACTCAACAGGAAGATCAAATTCAAGCTGAAGATTTGATATGCTGTTACAACTACCCTGTAAATTGACTTTTAGTTGCATAGTTATCAGTACAACCACAGCCTTGCTTTTTTTAAGGCTAGTTTTAAGGCTGATTATTTTGCTACAAGTCCTTAAAAGATTTTTGATAGAAATAATGTCTGTGCAGTTGGAGAAGTAGTTGTAGAAGTCGTGAGTTTTTTTACTTACAATTGCATGTTTGATAGAAGAGGYTTCTATTATTTTGCCTGGAATCAGTGCTCATAGTATGTTATCTCAGCACTTTCAGCCATCTCTCAGGGCTTTGAAGTAACTCAGTAYAAACCAGTCATTATCTCAGCTTTCTTCTTCATATTTGACTTATGTTTTCAATCTCCACTGTCTCCCTGTGGAAAGCTTAACTCTCTGTGTTGAATTTAATTTTAAGGTGATTGATTTATTTGSGGAGAGGAGTTATAAAAATGAGATGAAACATAGTAATGGTCGACAGATTTCTGTCTGGGCTTGCGAATAACATGATTGTCTTCATGCCCTAATAATTTAATCCTAGAAACGAATTTTCAGGAGACTAGTATCAGAACTTTTAATGCCTAAATATATTTTCATTTAAATTGTATGAGGCAGCAAGTTCTGGTTTTATTTTTTTGCAGGCATTCACTTAGAAMTCAAAAACCTAGATTTGTTTTAGCACCAAGAGAGGCAGCAATATTCCTATCWTGGTTAAGTACAAAATTAATGATTCTGGTTGTATGAAGCACATTTAATTTGRCATTTTATCCACTAAAACAATTACAAATATCTATTTCTGATTCTGGTTAGCRTGCAGGAGGTCAAAAGGAAGAAAACATGCAGCAGCTGTGCATTGTGTAYTTATATGCAGCTGTATGTTTTCTTTTCTGTTAGTTATACTGCCAAATGCTTGACATCTGCTTTTGGGAGCACTATAATATTCTTCTTCAAAGGCAGCATCTCAATTACTTTAAATTTACATATAACTAGAAAATGTGTGTCAAGCTAGAATTAAGCAATAAAAAATTGATGWTCAAGATATGGCGTAAATCCTCTGGCAGAGCCATCACTCTGGAATAGTATGTCTCAAAATTTTAGCAGTTGTRTTACTGGTAGGAAAAATAGTAAAAAGATTTCATCATGACCCAAGCTAAAGCTTTGTTACWAACTCTTTCTGAGGTATGTTTCCATCCATCCCTTTTTGGGGCAACTGAGCTTCTTGTTTCACAAGAGAGAGATTCCCTTTTGTACTAAAGGTGTTCTGCAAGTACAAATACATGTTAAATGATGTGCTTGATGAATCTAACAATTAATCCCTTGAGAAAATATAGACCAAGAGAATTACCAGTTGTTTATTWTAAGCTTAATTGTTTTTAAATGGTACTGAATGTTATTTTCCAATTTAATGTACAAGGTAGGGACATTTTTATTTCTCTAGTCACTATCTGATCTAGATCGTCTCTCCCTATATTTAAAAAGAAAAGTTTTACTTGCCATTGGGGCTGGGTAAGCTGCTGAAGGATCGACTGACCTTTTCGATTTGCAAATCCTGTAGGCAACTATTTGTTTTAAACTTTTTGTTTCACAAAAATGTATCCAGCTGAAACCTCTTTTCTTCTTCCTTGAGTCCTTATGACCAACGAATCTTTGAACACACTACAGTAAATGAACTGTGCTATGTGTTGTTGTAAAAGCAAAGAGTTACAGGTAGCTAAGGAAAATAGAAGTATTCTGATGTTGAAGTTGATGCAACATCTCTTGCAACCAAGAAAAAATAATAAGGAAGATTATAGTGTCTGTATGAAACAGCATCTGTTAACCAAAGCCCATAGTAGGCCTGCAGTAAACTGCTCTGCCAACCACGTAAATACTTTGCCCTTGGTTGATAGCACGCAGATCTTCTTAGGTAGTAAGAACATTGAGGTTTTTTGTCTGCATTCACTTTTTCTCCTAGACTTCTAGGACAAGGTGATTGTGTGGCCCACTCTGGTACAACTGGGACACGTTTTTCCAGTGATTAATCACTTTTTCACTCTTACATACACTTCATAGTTCCCTGACTCCTTTCTCATTGCAACTTTTTCTTTTATTRTGCTGTTTAGGCATGATCACATTTGTAGGAGTTTTAGTAGAMTGGAATAGCCAATGTTTTTACCAATGATTCTTCAGAGGATTAGCAAAGGTTCCTCAAAGATTTCCTACATGTGTGACTTATTTGTATCTGCATACACCTCCAGAACATCTCTCCCTGGAGAAAACCCTTAATAATCACAAGGATTTGAATGAATGTTTGAACATTTTTAAAATTTAAAACTACTTTTTCTGATCCAGTGCCTATCAGTTCTCACATTGCTCACATTCTGGATGACACAGGCATTGGCTAGGATGTGGAGTGATGTGCTTTTGCTTGCTAGGGAGACTCACAGAAGGTGTCTGTTTCTGTGATGAAATGTGACCGAAGAGTGAAAATGTAACTGACAGAATGTCTCCTAGAGGTGCTCTACAGCCCATCAGCTCAGCAGCACTCCTGCTGTGGGGTCCTGTGGAGCAGATTTAGTTACTTGGCAGATCTCAGTGTAGCTCAGTTTGCCACTGTGTTCTTGGTGAGATTCTGGGACAAGAAAGGCTCCCTGGTTGTTCAGTGCYGACAGAAGAGGCAAGCACCATGTCAGGGGGGTGTGAAGTAGAAAATACAAGGCTTGAGACTTGGTAGATATGAGCTTAGCACTAGAATTTTCCACAAAAGCATCTAGGATGATGCTATAGAAGTATGCAAATCCTGTGTTTCCCTCGGGTCCTCCATATTTTAAAATTAAATTATTCTGGTATCGTTCATGGTAATTGCTTTGGTTCATCATTTGTTGCTAGACAAAGTCACCAAATATCTCTCARCAGTAGTATGATTTAACTTACCTGCAAAAATTACATTTTGGAAGCTTATTATGTTGCCTTGRTTTCAGAAATTATTTTGGTATATTCATGCTGGCTGTACCTTGTCTCAAAGTTAAGTAAACTTGAGTATTCTTTTCAAGTACCTTCTAATGAAAAATCACAGTAGTTATATTTTTTTTTTTTAATTTCAAAATTACTGTTTATCATGTCTGTCAACAGTGTGGTTTAGGCATGGTMAACATAAATGCTTAATCATAAGAAAAATCTTGTCATTTTTGAATGAGTGGGTTCTTGATTCATTTAACATCTAATTGTCAATGAGAAATTGTTCATTGATATTTTCTCTTCACAGGAGATAGTTTTGTCAAAGGGGCTGAATAGATATTAGAAATGATCCCAGCCTATGCAAATTACAATCTTTTGATGTCAAAACAATTTATCTACATAAAATATTCTTTCCATCTGCTTTCCTAAGAATTAAAAAACCTCAAACTTTATGCTACCTGAAAWTGCTAAACACAAAATACTGGTGTATTTGGCTGGTAACAAATTGTGTATAAAAGGCCGCTTCATATTTCTTTGCAAGAATGCAAAAGTAAACCCTCTTGCTACTCTATATCTGACTCTTTTGATTATTTCTACTGGTGGGCAAGAATTTTCTCATTTTCTCATGCTAAATTAATTAGTAATTCCAATGTAAGTGTATTTTAGGGAACAAGATTATTAAAATGCAAAGATTAAAAAAAAATGCTATTAAGTCTTTAATCTCCTGAGCAACGTCTTTAATAGTTGAATGTGATATGCCATGGTTTGGTAATTAGTATCCTGGTAACATAATTAGCACAACAAAACATACAAAATGAATAGTCTTCCTGTGTGTTCACGGTCTAATACCAGGAGGAATCAGAGAAGAACTTACCAGACATCCAGTTAGAAGATAATCTGTGCCCTTTTTTTCCTAATATGACCTATGGATGCACAAAATTTYTCTCTATATAGTTCTTTATACCTGAACTGTGCAATTTTGAGTATTTTGATTAGCAGCTTGCTTATAGATGGATTTAGTGATTMGCAGCAGAAAAGTTCATGCTACTGGCAAATTCCATGATCTGTGTTGAGTTCGATCTGAAAATTGAAAGTTGTTCTCTTTGATTAATACCTGCCTTGTTTATTAGAGTAACTGGTCTTCCTGGCCTGTGAGGAGGCT